TTTGCGACGTTAAACCCCATATATCAATCAGTATTTCTTCGTATCCTTCTTATGTAGATTCGAACCTATTAGATCCTTGCACGTTCAAATTGGCAAAGCAAGACAAAGCAAGTGAATCAAAGCAGAAATCGCAAACAGTAAAGGTATATCTGTCCAAGAATTGAAAACAAGGTCATCAACTCGGGGCGCACAAAAACGAGCTAGCAAAGCAACATCGGTCGCTCATCTTATGTGGCTTTATAACTCTTCGTTCATTCAAGCGAGAGCACTGCCTTTTGCACGCAGAAACAAAACTTTCAAGTGGCCTCGCTCGCAAGGAAGTGCTTGTAAGAAAGGTGAGGATGTCTGTATGCCGCCGGCCTACCTCTTTATGGTGCTCAACCAGTTCAGTTTGTGCAAGGAATGCTGAAGACAACATTTGGGCACTACTTTGAAGCACAGAGCCAGTTGATCCTGCAGCTGAATGAACTAGACAGCGTGTGGTTCAAAACGAAGTTCTGGCAGGAAGCCGAATTCTGCGTTTCCTTAAGAGGCAACAACTGGAATTCTAAATTACCACTTCAAACGCAGGACTATAATGGTTCACCAGTATTTGGAGTTACCTCCTGAGGAAAGGAAGAGTAATCCTTTAAAATTCGGGCACTCTTGGCAATGCGCAACAGTGCCACTCTCTTAAATGGCCAGGAAGTACTTGTGCATCCCAGTACCTGCAGAACGCATGTTCTCCGCTGCAGGACGGATCATTCCAGAAAGAAGGAGCAGGCTAAGTAGAGCAAAGGTTGGCATGCTTGTGTTCCTTCACCAAAATGCTTGGCTTGCAAAAAAAAAAAAAAAAAATGGATTGAATGGTTCAGCAGTAGCAGCAAGGAAGCCGTTCATGTCACAGAACTGCAAGACTTCGAACTAATGTTGTGTTTTGGGGGGTCTAAAATGAAAAAAATTACGAACTTAGTTTTGTTTGTAAGGCTTGACAGCTTGGTTATGAGCATTACTACCTTAGTGGACATATTCCGGTGTTTTCACTGAGGTAATTTTATTCATAAAAAATTTGCTCATAAATGAAAGAACCCGAGTACTGCAAATAGTAGGCTGTTGTGACTGTTCGCTGCAGAACTATCGGTAAATGGACAATAGTATCGATAGTTCCGTTTTAAACTGTTGATAGTCCATATAACAATGATTCTGCAACACAAACGCAGGGTGGTTACTTGGAGAAGCTTCATCCAGAGTAGCTTCAGCTGGCCGAAAAGCTCATACTGAAGATCCTAATATATTGATGCTTTCGGTTTGTAGTAACTTTTTCTGGTCAACATACAGCTGATCTCCTGCCATGGTTTGTGGCACATGCAGTCACAAACTTGAGCACGCAAAAGGGTGCGATGCATATATTTTCACTGTGTAAAGTAACGTTCATTTGACGTCAACGTTCATTACAACAGCAGAACATCACTAGTTGCACTTCACAAGGCAACAAATTACAATGCGCACAGCTCGGTCTACCACAAAGGCATTCTATCAACCTTCTAACTCGAGGTGTGTCGCCATTATGTGATGACGATGACAATGTGTCTAACTCTTCTCACGGGAGGCTGTTGGCAACACGGCTTCAGTTTTGTTTTCACGTGCAGGCCATTTTCGGGCTCAATTTATCGGGAGAAAGATGCGCGTTGGATTCGAATTTTTTAAAGTTTAGAATAAAAATTCGCTCGCACCTGCTTCAACTAAGTAATGCTGCCATTGGCAAAAATAGTTTGTCTACCTTCCTTGGGGATGCGCAAGGTCGTGTCGTGGGCTTATTCAGGTTGTCTGTACCCGTTTCTCATGCAAGGCTGAATGTCACTGCCTTTATTCTTAGTTTTTCAATTATACGATGGTTTTGTGTGGTCCCATGAAAGTTGTATAATCGGGGTTCCACTGTATTATTTTAACTCAAGATTTGAGCTGAAGCTCAGCCTATTCAAGTACCGTATATATATACTCAAATCTAGAGGAAAGGCAGACACCCCGAAATCTAGGCAGACTAGGCAGACACCCCGGCAGACACCCCGGTTTCGGGGTGTCTGCCGAAATCTAGGCAGACACCTAGGCAGACACCCCGAAACTGGCAAGGCCAGAAAAAAAAAATAACTTTCCTCGAATGTTGGTCGAGATTTTGACACACGGAGGTCCGTCGTCGCAGGCTGAGTCCAAACCGTTTTATGAAGCATGTTATCCAGCCCCTGCTGGTTTTAAAACAGGCTCATGAAACACCCTTCGCGATGGCGACTTCTCTGGCCTTCGCCTGAATAATTTCAGTCGTCATGGGCAATCCCGCTTCCCTCTGTTCTCAAACAAAATCGGCAACATTGTCTTCCACCGCATAGTGTCGGCCGGTTTTCACTCCAGGGAACGCCATGCGGATTGCTGCGTAGCCGAAGAGTTCCACACATTGTTTTCGTTATCATCGCACATTCTCTCATGCACGCCGAGCTCTTGCTGCGCTCGTAGATTCGATGTCTTTGCCGCATGTAACGCAACCTTCTGCTTAAACGCCACGCTATAGTAGCACCGCTTAGTTGGTGCCATCGAATCTAAAGCACAATTGACATGGGTGTTTCGCGACCAAAAGGCACAATTACACTGCACGATCACTTTCAGAAGAATGACCATTGACCAACTCCGCGGCTCCTCTCCGGGCCATCCGCCATGCGATAGCAGATAGGTGGCCAAAGTGACAACAGCCGGGTTGAATTTTACTTCTTTGTTTGGAAACCGGGTTTGGCTGGAAATTCATTTCATTTTATACTCCTATAAGCAAATTAGATATTTCTATTCTATTTGAACACAGAGCAGGCACTCTGAGCACTACATAAAAAAATGTTTAGTTTTTGTTCACTAAGTATTACAGCTAGGGGGCATTGGCCGCCGCTTGATCTAAAGGGTACAGCCATGTCAATCCATCCATCTATCGGCGGTAATCACATGACACGTAACATGTCTGCCTATTTTTCCAACATGAAATCTCGCCGGCTCGGCGACCCTCGCTCCTTCGCTGTGTGAACATGGGACTGCGGGATTTCGGGACAAAGAACCGTACGAAAGCGATAGGGACCACTATTATCTCGCTGAACAGGCCTGAGCCGCCTCGTCACCGCGCAGCTACCGTAGAATGTCATGAAAATGAGCCTCCAGCGTGTGAAACCGGTACCTTGCGATCGGCATATCGAGGGCCGTAATGCTGCTGGCGCGGCCGTCCCTTCAGGCATGTGGCAGCAGTGGCCAAATCGGGGTACTCGAATCTAAGCTGACACCCCCATTTTCGCACATAATTTTTTCGAAAAAAACATCGGCTTAGGTTTGAGTGTATACAGTAATAAACATTTTATATACACAATTTTATAGCAATTTTTATATGCACAATTTTATAGTGATTGTGTCAACATTGCTGTTGCCGACACTAGCATTGTCTGCTGCCGTTAATGGCCTAAATTGTAACCATAGTTAAATAATTAAAGAACTTCACACTTCTTGTTAATGAACGTGAATAAGTGTTTTTATGTACTGTTTCAAGCCAACCTATAAAGACACTTGCAATGCCATCTTAACAATGTAAACTGCTCCACGGCCAAGCCTTCATCACTGGGGGGTGAGCTATGTAGGGATCAGCGTGCTTAGTCTGCTGCTGAAGAAATTGCTTTGACGAGCACCATCAGACAGACAAGCTTGAGCAGCGTAACTAAGACAGACTTAGTACACTGGCTATTAAATATTAGTTTCCTTTAGGCCTTCTGTTTCCCAAGGACTTGGCCTGCTAAGAAACTCCCTATCAACATGTCTCTTTTCTGTTTTGTACACACACGAGTTTAACGTCAATTCAGTGAAACTGTATTTATTGTAATATTGCAGGTATTTTGTGCAATATTTATTTATGCAAAAGCACATATTCATAATATGAACTGAGAATGCCTCTACTGTGGAGGTTTATGTTGTGATGCATCTGTGTTGCAAAGGAATGCGATGTCCAGCATTGAATGTTCGATGTGCTTGTGGACAATATTTTCATGAGCGCATAGTGCGATGCTGTACTACAAAAAAAAAAAAATTCATGGCAATTCATGAAGTAAAACTTCATGAATTGCCACTATCAGTGTAACAAGTGCTATAAATCAAAGTCCCAAAAGTGCATCGACCATCAGTTTAATCAGAACAAAGCTTATCCATTCATAGTTAGGAACGGCGCAAAAAACACAAGACACAAAATAATGACAGCACGAGGACAGGCGCCGGATTGGTCCTTGTGTTGTCATAATTTGTGTCCGGTGTTTTTTGCGCCGTTCTTAACTATGAACCCACGCCAACTCGCCCAACTGTCAGTGCCATAGCCCTTCACCAAAATCACGACAAATTTCGTGGGCATCTTATCAATCGTTCTACTGACGATTCTTAGCTGGTCCATTTAATCCCATTATTTGTGTATCCCTCTTTTCTTTTTTTCCTTTTATTTTATCATAAATAGGACGCTGTTAAGTCTTATTGATTATCCCAACTGGTTCTGGTAAGCTGCGTAACCTGTTTCGCTGCGCCTGCATTCGATCCGTCTAACAAGCTGTTGCATTTCTTTGTTTTGTGTTTCAAACTTGCCCATTCATCTGTCATACATATGACTAGTTTTGTGTTACGCATTATTTTGCTGTACTTGCCGGTGTTTTTTTATATGCTATTCTACATCGTTCTTACTTTTTTGTACTGACTTTGTTTTTGATATTAACCCAATCTGTTTTTACTTTGTATCTACCCCCTTTGCATAATGCCTGTGCAAGGCCTGTAAGGTACTTATAAATAAACAAAATAATAAATGAATAAAGTTGTTTTGCAGGGTTGTCAGAATAATGTCTTACATTATTGTTTACTTTGTGGGCAAAGAGTTCTGGAATGATTTTACGAACATAATCTGTGCCCAGCTTGAAGATTGCACAATCAACATCACTCACCTGGCTTTTGATGACCTTTTATTGTTTTAGGATGAGCCTTACAGGATTGCAACTGACGTCCAAATCATCCCCACACCGGGCCACACCCTGACGGATGTCAGTGTCGTGGTGAAAACTGCAAAGCTGGGCACTGTGGCCATAACAGGTACGCACTACAATATTTTTGTGAGGCATTAATTGAAAACTTGGTGCAGAATTCACTTATTGGGTTAATCCATGATGATCTTATGCTGCAGTGAACATTGTTGTGCCATGATCTCTGTACTGCTCAATTATTGATATGAACATGTTGTTTAATTAGTGGCAGCCCCCCACCCCACCCAAAAAAATCAATGTTGTCACTAATACGAATTTTCGTTCTAACTTTATCGAGCAGACTTGTGCCCAAAGAGACAAGGAAAACTGAAAAGACAAGGCTGTAGTCTGCTGAATTCAGTCATATCGGGAAAGTTCATCCATTCTTATGCAGGAGTCGTCTTACATTCCAGCATACATTAATAACCTGTTAATACATGCCTGCTATGAACGATATGAATAGTTGAAGAGTAGTTTCTCACAAATTCTCAGCAGAGTCTCGATGCACCCTGAACGTTCAGGGACGATGTAAACAGAAATGGCTCGTCCTGTGTCAGGTTTCTCTATGTAGCAATCAGATTTTGTCACTTAAAGGTAAGCCGCACCCATCGATTCAAAGCGTAGTTGATGCTGCAATGTGCCACAAAGACGCTTCCATGTTTTCGGTTCTCGCGGATAATAAAAAAAACATCAGAAAAGTTCAAAGGCCGATTGCGTTCTTGGCAGTGCTAGTGTAAGATTAGCAGGCTATAGGCAGTCTTTGTGGATGATTTGACCGAAGCATTGACAGTTCGGTCACTGGAGGGAAATGAGAATGCATAATTTTTTTCTTTTTGAATACGATTTCAATTGGCTGCTGACTTCTTTTGTAATGTGGCTCTTTGGGTGTCATCACAACAGCTTGATAAATTGCAGTGCTTAAAAACACAGTGACACTGGGACATATAAGCTTCCAAATAGTGCATTTATTGCAAAGATATTGAAGTCTGGTTGTAGTCAAAAAGTAACCGTGAATTCAGCGAGACATAAGGGTACAAAACACAAACACATTGAAAAGCCTTGTCATACCTCGCATAGGGCTCTTATACTCCATTTATACATAGCATAGAATGCTTGGAGAGGCTTTTCTCGTTTGTCACATTCATGGCTGTGATGTGTTGGCTAAATTTTAAAGATAAGTAGACACAGGTACGTATTGTCACGTGATCACAGAACGACCACAACGTCTGTTCACAGGAGCAGCACTGGACGTCGAGCCGAACTGAACGTTAGAGCACGAGCACGCCAACCGTCCTCTTCTTCTTTCACACCGTGGCACATAGTCGCATTGGCATGGCTAAACCTCGTTCCATGCCTGTGGCATTACCCCCCCCCCCCCCCCCCCTTTCGAAAAAAAAAGTACCACCCTGATGACCAATGCCGATTAAAATTTAAAGTAATCGTGTACACGCACAAAGACGCATGATGAAGCAGTCACAGGAGCAGCACTGGATGTCGAGCCGAACTGAACGTTAGAGCACGAGCACGCCAACCGTCCTCTTCTTCTTTCACACCGTGGCACATAGTCGCATTGGCATGGCTAAACCTCGTTACATGCCTGTGGCATTACCCCCCCCCCCCCCCCTTTCGAAAAAAAAAGTACCACCCTGATGACCAATGCCGATTAAAATTTAAAGTAACCGTGTACACGCACAAAGACGCATGATGAAGCAGTGTCAGGTGGCTCGGGGGGTAGTGTGGCTTCATGCGTGACACATGAACAATGTCAACCTGCTGGGAACATCGAGATCGCTGAGCTGTGTCTTCAAGCAGAATTTCTTAGTTGACATCTGTGAGGCGCCGTAGTACTCTATAGGGACCGAAGTAGCGGTGAAGTAACTTTTCCGAGTGGCCCCTTTTGTGAACGGGATCCACAGCCAGACCAGATCACCGGGTTGGTAAATGACATGGCGATGACGGGAGTTGTACCTCTGCGAGTCGATTCGTTGTTGTTTTCGGATCCTCTTGAGTGCAAGCTGGCGGGCCGCGTCGGCGAGCCGGATAAAGTCGTTCGCATCACTAGTAATATCAGTCGTGTCAGGCAACAGCATGGCATCAAGCATCGTAATTGCTTCTCGGCCGTGAAGCAACCGGAAGGGAGTGAAAGCCGTTGTCTCTTGAACCGCAGTGTTGTAAGCGAACGTTACGTATGGCAAAATTGCATCCCAGTTTTTGTGATCACGGTCGACGTACATAGATAGCATGTCAGCGAGCGTCCTGTTTAATTTCTCCGTCAGACCGTTGGTTTGTGGATGGTATGCGGTTGTTTTGCGATGAGCTGTTCCACCAAGTCTCATGACGTCTTGCATCAATTGGGCTGTAAAGGCTGTTCCACGGTCAGTGATAAGAACTGTTGGCGCTCCATGGCGGAGGAAGATGTTGTTCATGAAAAAATATGCAACCTCATTGGCGGTGCCTCGTTATAGGGCTTTCGTTTCGCAGTACCTCGTTAAATGGTCAGTAGTGACTACGATCCAGCGGTTGCCATCATGTGACTTCGGGAAGGGCCCAAGCAAGTCCATGCCGATTCGTTCAAACGGTTGTGACGGGGGTGCAACAGGCTGCAATAAACCAGCAGGGCGCACAGGTGGGGGCTTTACGGCGCTGGCATTGATTGCAGGTTTTAACGTAATGCTTGACAACCTGGGTGAGCTTTGGCCAGTAGTAGCGAGTTCAAATCCGGGCAAAGGTACGTGCGAATCCTAGGTGGCCGGAGGAAGGCTCGTCGTGGCAGGCAGATAAAATGGCAGCACGTAGCCCTAGTGGAACGACGAGGAGGTACTCAGTCGCATAAGGTTCGAAGTTCTTTTTGTAGACGATGTCGTTGCGGAGACAAAATGACCCTGAACGTGCGAATGCCGATGGTGGACTCGGGCTGCGACCTTGAAGGTATTTGATAAGTTGTTGGATCTCTGAATCATTCCACTGTTGTTGGGCCAAGTCAGATTCACTGACTGCACAAAGAATATGGCCATCGGTATCATCGTCCCTCGATGTCGTCGCGAGGGGTGCGCGCGAAAGGCAATCAGCATCAGTGTGCCTGCGGCCCGACTTGTAGACGACTGTAACCTCAAATTCTTGAAGGCGTAAGCTCCACCTCGCGAGGCGCCCTGAAGGGTCCTTGAGATTGGCCAGCCAACAGAGGGCATGATGGTCCGTAACTACTCTGAATGGACGGCCATACAGATACGGTCGGAACTTTGTTATCGCCCAAATAACAGCAAGACATTCCTTCTCCGTGGTCGAGTAGTTAGTTTCTGCAGATGACAAAATGCGGCTAGCATAAGCGATGGGACGTTCAGCTCCGTCTTGCCACTGGACGAGTACTGCACCAAGACCGATGTTGCTTGCGTCAGTGTGAAGTTCGGTGGTGGCATCTTCATCAAAGTGCCCTAGTAAGGGTTCACTCAGAAGGCACTGCTGAAGCTGGAAAAAAGCGGATCTCTGCTCTGGACCCCACACAAAAGGAGTATCCTCCTTCGTTAAACGGGTAAGGGGTTCAGCGATGTTGGCAAAGCTCTGGACAAAGCGCCTGTAGTAGGCGCAGAGACCCAAAAACCGGCGCAAATCCTGTTTGTTCGAAGGTGGAGGAAATGCAGCAACAGCCATGGTCTTTTCTGGGTCTGGTCTAATGCCATCGTGACTGATAAGGTGGCCGAGGAACTTTAGTTCTTCTTAGCCGAAATGACACTTCTCCGGTTTTAGCGATAGGCCTGCGGATCGAATAGCGACGAAGACGGACTGAAGTCGTAAATGTTGCTGAAATGTTTTGGAAAAAACAACAACGTCGTCTAAATACACGAGGCAGGATTCCCACTTCAGACCGGACAGGACGGTGTCCATCATCCTTTGGAACGTTGCTGGTGCAGAGCATAATCCAAATGGTAACACTTTGAATTCGTAGAGGCCATCGGGAGTTATGAATGCTGTTTTTTCCCTGTAACGTTCATCGACCTCGCCTGCCAGTAGCCGCTGTGTAAATCCATTGAGGAAAAATATCGGGCATGTCGAAGTCGATCTAGTGAATCATCTATGCGTGGTAGAGGGTAGACGTCTCTCTTCGTCACTTTCTTGAGCTTCCGGTAATCGACGCAAAATCGAAGAGTGCCGTCTTTCTTTTTAACAAGTACGACGGGTGACGCCCAAGGACTGTTCGAGAGTTGGATGACGTCGTCGTCGAGCATCTGTTTCACTTGAAAACGTATTGCCTCTTGTTCTTTTTGCGACACGCGGTAGGCGTGCTGTCGAACAGGCCGTTCGGTAGGGTCCGTTATAATGCGGTGCTTCACGGTTGGGGTTTGCTTGATTTTGGAACTGGACGCAAAGCAATCACTATACGTACGTAAAATCATGCGTATCTGCTGTTGCTGCGCACAGGATAGCTGGCAATTCATGTCAACTGTACTGGCTAATGCAGTGTTACCTTCGGCAACAGTGGCGATCGGATCAAAAGTGGAACATTCTTCGTCATCGATAGCTTCAATGTTCGCGATTGCTGTTCTCTTTGCCAAGTGTTGGTGCTGGCCGCCGAAATTTGTGATCAGAAGCTGAGTCCTCCGATGTTTCAGTTTGACAATAGCACGCGCGACACAAATCTGCCGAGCCAAGAGCACCGAGAGGTTAGTTTCCGCGATGCCACTACTCTTGTTGTCACAGTCGCTCTCCACAGTTACCAACATACTGGCTCGCGGCGGCAGTGCGATGGTGTCGCCAGCAATTTGAAGTGTTGTGGTCGGCGCAACTGCATCCTTTCGTAGGGCTGTATGGTCGTTAGATAACGTTATGAGCAGGTCGCGAAGGTTAATAATGGCTCCATGCTCGCGGAGAAAATCCATTCCGAGAATCAGGTTTTGGGAGCATTCGCGCAATACAACGAAGGAAACAATGTATGTCGACTCACGAATTCGGAGGCGGGCAGTGCACATTCCTAGCGGTGTCAATAGGTGACCTCCCGCAGTCCGGAGATTGGTTCCATGTCCCCAAGGTGTCGTTACCTTTCTTAGCTGTGCAGCGAGGTCAGCGCTTATAACAGAATAATCGGCACCCGTATCTACCAGAGCGGTCAGCGGGTGGTTGTCGACAAGGACAGAGACACGAGCAGAGACCCGTTTGTTGTCGATGGCACACGTCGGTGAAAGAATGTCGCCGGATGTCGGCAGGCAAATCGGCGGAGGGTCTTGTAACGGTCGATCAACAGCGGCCTCACCCCCAGAGGTCGCTGTTCTTAGTTTCCCCGGCGCGGGCTTGTGGATCTAGGCGATCTTCCTGCAAGGACGTCCGCAAAGGTCGATTGTTGGCCAGGTGACGTGGAACGCTGTGGAGATGGTGAGCAAGATTGGCGACGCGGAAGGGTTGAGGATCGTTGGCTTGCCAAGTATTCGGCGATAGCACGGGGCCGCTCACCATCTCTTGGTCGACGAGCATCCGGACGAAAGCCAGGAAGACCCATGTGCCTGTAGGCGCACTCACGGTAGATGTGACCTGGTTCACCACAGTGATAACATAGAGGCCGGTTGTCGGGAGCACACCATACACTAGATTTCCGTGTAAGGGGTGGGTTGTCGTACTGCGGTGGTCCCGAGTAGAACGACGGTGCCGTCTGCAGGGTGGACGGACAAGACGGATAGCCAACAGCCGGTGCAGGAGTACGTAGTGCTTCCGCGTACGTTAATAGCGGAGCTTCGGCTGGACGCGGGGCCGTCATGGGTTGGACTTCGGCTGCACGCAGAGTCGTCATGGGGTGCACCAGCTGCCGAACCTCTTCGCGAACGACATCCGTTAGAGGAGCAGTATGGGGCGGAGAAGACACCACGTGCAGCTTTTGCAGCTCCTCGCGCACAATACTGCGCACGAGCTCCGTCAGGTCTTTTACAGCCGTGACGTCGGGTGTTGGCAGGGCCGACGACACTGACGAGACTGCCAGGACGCTCATACTGGTACGAACGCTGTCTTAGCATTCTCTCCATTGTCGTGGCTTCGCGGAGGAAATCCTCTACAGTGCTGGGAGGGTTCCGCACTAGTCCCGCGAACAGCTGCTCTTTCACTCCCCGCATTAGGAGGTGCACCTTCTTCTCTTCCGTCATTGAGGAGTCGGCTCGCCTGAACAGCCGCGACATGTCCACAACAAACATGGCAACACTCTCGTTCGGACGCTGGTTTCAGGAATTGAGGAGCCGTTCCGCTCGCTCCTTTCGGTCAAAGCTTCGGAAGGTATTTCGCAACTGGTTGCAAAACTCTGGCCAGGTTGTCATAGTGGCTTCATGGTTTTCGAACCAAGTGCGCGCAGAGTCCTCGAGATAAAAGTAGACATACTGAAGCTTTCGCTGCTCGTTCCACTGGTTGACGCTGCCGCAACGGTTGTAGTCGTCAAGCCAGTCGTCGACGTCCTCGTAAGGGTCACCATGGAACGGCTTCGGAGTTCGCGGGACGTTGAAGAACCATGGAGGAGGCAGCGTTGATGTTTCTTGGGTTTGCGTTCCCGCACTAGCCATAGTACTGCCGAGTTGTGGAAATGGTCCGAATTCAGGAGGTAGGCCTAGTTGTTGCCTGCTACGCCGTAGGTCAGCTGGTTCTTCCAAGTCGCGACTAGTGTCCGGGCCTTGCTGCTGATTGCAGTGCATACAACACTACCCAGCACCTCCACCAGAAAATGTCACGTGACCACAGAACGACCACGTCTGTTCACAGGAGCAGCACTGGACGTCGAGCCGAACTGAAAGTTAGAGCACGAGCACACCAACTGTCCTCTTCTTCTTTCACACCATGGCACATACTCGCATTGGCATGGCTAAACCTCGTTCCATGCCTGTGGCAGTATGATGGCATGCCGTCGGTTCTGAGACTGCGTCTAAAATTGTGGCGCATGATAGGGTAGGATGGGCAATTTTGCAAAATGTGTCCAACGTTTTGAGCCTTTTACCACTAATCGAGCAGTTGCATGTTTCTCTGATCGGCAGCCACAGTACGCCACATGTACTTGTTGCGAGAACATGGTGTGTTAGACGCTGAAAGCAAAAAGAAGTCGTAGCCTTTCGCCTATCTGGAAAATTGGGGTAAAGCAAAGCTCTCTGTGTGTACACATGTCCTGCAATTTTTCTTTATTTCTATGATATTGTGCAACTCTCCCTCTTAAGGGGTACTGACAAAATTTCGGGGCCGAGATAGCCTGCGGGGTCGGTTCTCGTGAACATCCGTATATCATCTACAAGATATCAACAGCGAATATAGCTTGGAATGTATTTTAAATTAACTTTGAAGTTTGCGTGAGCGACCGACATTATAGCGCAATAGACACCCTCCTCGGAGGTGACCCCGAGGTGACCCCCTACTTCCCCCACGTCACCACGCTGCGGCCAACAAACAAGTTATGAAGACGTCATAGCCGCCATTTTTTCTTTTGCCGCGTTAGTTTCCGAAGTCTACATTTCTCGGTGGCTGGTTGCGTGTGCCTGGCCGTGGCGCACGCTTAGAAAGTTTTGTGTTTGGCGGCATTTTAGTGCCGTTTCTTATTCGAAAGTAATTCTTGTTGCGGATCGTGCGGATGTGTGTCACAGTTCTGTGTGCTGACGTCATCAATAGTTGCACACGCTAGGTGGCGACAGTTACACCCAGTTTTTGGAACTCTCGCAAACTGAAACTGATCGGTAATGAGGGGCCTACAATTAATTATCTATCGCATGCTACAGCAAATAATGTGTCGTGTCATGACTAACAGCCCTACAGCAACGCATTGCAGTAGAAGAACGCGAGGCCAAATTTTTTGTGTCAGTTCCCCTTTAACTTTTCTTTTCCTTCATGTCTGCAATTATATCTTCACTGATGTACAGTAGACTCTCGCTAAATGGAATATGAAGGGAACAGCAAAATATGTTCAGTTTAACAGGAGTTTCATTTGCGGAGACACAGACAGGGGGGGGGCACAATTCAGGTACGGAACCAATCATGTGAGAGGCAGTTGCTTCCTTTAAGCAGCAATTCTGTTTAATCGATTTCACTTTACTGAGGGTCAACTTAGCAGCTCAAGACTCCCATTGCAACAGGCAATAATAACAGTCTTATGTGAAACAAATAAATTCAATGATGAAAGGCGACAATGTCATGTGGCAATGCAAGCTCACAAGTGACCTTAATAAAAGACCAGATTTTCGTATTGTGAACGGCTGATTGCCAACAAGCCCACGATCGAGAAGGTTTCTGGAAAACGGTGCCTACAAATACTGTGCACGTGACTGGCGAATGTTTGAGGACTTAGCTGCAGCAGTTTTATACAACTGACTGCAGGCACAGGTTTTTTTTTGCGAATTGTACCGCTGTTGTCACTGGCAAAATCTGTATTCTCAAAACAGCTTCATTTGAAACAGCTGTGAAGGTGCCTGTCTCCCCTTTGATTCCAGGCGACTTGTTTGAAAAGGAGGAGGACATTGACAACCCCAAGTTGTGGAAGGATGTAGGAGGCAGCGAGGACCCGCAGAAGCAGTGCAACAGCCGTCAGATGATCCTGGAGGTAGCTGACTATATAATCCCTGGACACGGTCCCATGTTAAAGTCACCGACGAGATGCGCGAGAAGCACGCGACTCTCTTGGAGACTCACAAATATGAAGACAGCAATTGACATGGCACTCGGTCTAGGATGTCATGTCATTTAAACCCACGTTCGACCTTAGTTCGTTATCGTAATTGACACTGTCTGTGATGATGAGTGTGAAATGGCAGGCATTGACTCGAGAGGTGTGAGCTTACACAACCAGCATTTCTAGAAAGCAATTTTCATGTGTGGGCAGACTTTGAATTGTACTTTTATAGCGGAATTTTAGAATAGTTCTGACACGTGGCACGACAGATTTTTATACATGATTAGAATAGAGGCTATAAGGATTAGATTGAGAAACATAACGGGATACCACTTTAAAAAAATAGTCGTGTTACCACGATGTTCATTATTTAAGTTTTTTTAAATGTAATACAGGTGAGAGAATGTACTAGTCTACAAAGCAACGACTAGCTCTGCCACTCACTTGCACACTTGCATGTCGTCCAATTCCAGACAGGAGGTGTGCATTGAATTTCTACACACAAATAGACAAGCATAACGTATCTCATTATGCAAATGTTTGAACATTCGTACGTAACAAGGAATCTCGACACACTGTGATTGTGTGTCTTAAGTGGCAATGCTCAGTCTTTTTTTAAATTTTGTTCTCGTTGTTGTGTTAAGTTCGTTTGTGCAATAAGACCCAGACTGGAATGTTCTCAGAAAGTAATGCTGTGTAGCACTTATAACGCTAAAAAAAATGTGTATGTTGCTTTAATAAAATTTTGTAGATCAATCGGGCAAAGTTTTTAGCTGAGTATTAGCTTTTTTGTTTCTCTGCCAATTGTGATTGCACTCCCGGAAAACTCTTCGCCTGCCGCACTGTACGAAGCTGTTCTTATATGCCAAAGACAAACTTTAAAAGCATTTCAAAGAAAACAAATGACAGTAGTACTATCTTAATAGGTAGTTTTTTTGCTTATGTAATTCAAGAAAGCTTTTGTGAATGAAAAATGAAATTTTTCGTATTCTTGAAACTTCGTTGTCAAATATGAATCTAGTTACAAAAGGTATAGAAAAGATAAAAGTCTTGAAAATATAATTTTATGTGTTCTCTCTATTCATTTCGTCCTGTAAAGGTTACTGTGCCTTTGCGTAACACAATACACTGGATAAAATGAACAGTATTGCAGCTGTGATACACTAATTGATGTAGGAGACCTTGTTCTCGCAATACTTGTATTTGCACTTCACGAACTTCATTGAACACATTGATGAGTGAAAAACGTAGTTATATCTGGGTATTCTTTGGTCTTTAATGCTTTTGAACTTCAAACTGTTTAATGATAACACTAAGCGCACGAGTCTGTGCACTATTTTTTATGAGTAGGAGTGAACGACATCAGAGTGAGCTTCGGGACCCCGCAAGTTTCTTTTGGCGTCGTAGTGCAATTTGCTGTATGTTTACTAAGGAAGTGTCTCCTGTTTTCTGTGTTGTAGGGATTGGCTGACAACAGTTTGTTTGCAGTAAGCAAACTTGTCATTTGAAAGTGTGGATATTTTCTTGAGCTTTTGCTGAACATTATCATGCATATGGTCGAATCTGTATATAGTACGTTGGGCTTGAAAGGATCGTGAAGTATGTAGATGATTTGAAACTCAAGATGTGCCTGTCTGAAGCTTATCCACAAGGATCTGCGTGTCTCAGACAGTTGCTTCTTGTCATGAAAAGTGGAAATTTACCCATGTGTTCCTTTGAGGCTGTGCTAAAGGTGCGAATGTTTATCACATGCTTGAGAGCTCACGTTGACATGGAAGTGATTGCTTCACTTAGCCACCAGGTTGCTAGATCTCGTTTCAGATCTCATAACTTTGTGTATCTTTCATTGTGTTTCTTAGCTATTCAATAGCTTGCTTTATTAACACACATTTTAACAATTAAGTCATTAGAGCATTAAAAGTTCATTGACATTCATTTTTGCATATTTAAAAACTGTCTCAGCTGAACAAATCGGACAGTTGGTGGTTTGCTTTTCTCGTTTTTGTTATTTCATTTTTTATACTGTTATTATAGTTTCTCTTTCGTTGTTTGCATGTCTAAAAACTCGTAGCATTTTTATGTACTCTAGCCTTGCTTCAGTGTGGGTACATTATGCCTCAAACCCATTCCAACGGTTTTTCACTAATGATTATTTGCACATCTCTCTGGGACTTCATATTTGCCATGCTGCCATATTTTATTCGCATTGTAGCGCTCGTGCACTGGAGCAACTGAGGCTTTTCTATCGTCATGGCTGGCATGTGTTGTCGTAACAACCGCGTCATCTCAAGCTTAGTTCAAGAGAAGTAACGTAAAGGAGCACTAACTTTGAATTCTTATTTCAGTGACCACTTCAGTTAGCTATAAAGGGACTTTAAGGTATCCTAAAGATCAATGCTCAAGAAAAAAAATGAGTCTAGACATATGTGAAAAAATTTTTAAGCATTGTAATACATTAAATAAATTTACTGTATGAGGTTGATTACTAGGAAATAAAAGTGAACTTTAAAGCATCATTTCTTTTTAAAATTTCTGCTGGTATGCAAGTGCCAAATCTGAGTGCGGCATTATGCATTTCAAAGTATTTCTTGGTATATTTTGGCTATTGGAGCACAGTCGAGTTGTTAGGACTTACTAGGTGTAGTCCTTGGCTCCAATAAAATATTATGTAATCCACTTTTAGAAGAGATAAACTAGGCCTCAGCTGACACTGCCATAATTCATTATTGATGTGAGCTGGTGCAGAAACTAAATGACAATTGTTACCATCTATACTTCATTTTTGCTCCTATTTTGGTTTACCAAGGCTGTTCTAACTAGAGGATGACTTTTTATTTGTATAGAAAAGCAGCTAACTGTATGCTATAAAGGTGTAGATGAGACTGTTTTTCTCATTAGCATCTCTCGAAGTGATTCATGTTTACAGCGGGGTGAGGCAGTCTCTCAGAGTTTGCCTATTTCATTTTTCCAGGCCATACAAACTCAACTCATTACCAACAACTTTACACCTAATCCTCTGTCCCCTGACTGTAATTTCTTGCAATGATACTGATAACATAGGCTATATGTTATGAAAATAGTACATGGGCTGCTGAACTTCTTTTTCTGATCTCAGATAGGATATAGTCTAATTTGCTCTGTAAGTTATACTTATCTCTAGCTCTTAGTGCTGTGCTGATCGTTAGGTTTTGTCGTTCATAACACATAGTTCTGTTCTCAGCTCCCCTTTATCTGTTAAAGTCGTAATGTGTACTCTCTCCAATGAGGAACGCCTCTGTAGCAGAATAAGTGACTTACTATTGCATATGCCTTGCCATTTCTTGTAACATCATTAAGACTAACAACGTATCAGGCAGTGCCTAGAACTTTTTTGTTCTGGAGTGAGTGGTGGCATTTCTTACGGGTGTTGCATGATATATTGCCAAAGTTCATTTTCTAACAGCAATTTATCTAGGTTCAAAGATCTTTGGCTTTCGGTGCTATGCAGAAGGTCTGTTTGACATAGTCGGGCTGTGGAGTATTTCGGAGTTGGAGTCAAAGAGGCCAGAGGTCAGTAAACTGGGAGCCAAAGCATGGACAGCGATCAAAGGCTTTGCTCAGGATAAAGTGGATGAAATCTAACGAAGCGTCCACACAGGGAACATCAGTGGCTACATACTCATTATGTATCCCTATTACAAAATGGTTGGAAGTTTGTCCCTGTTCAGTGCTATTGCGGTTGACTTCTCTTCCTTCTAGCCAGAATATGCAGTAGTGATATGAAGTTATTCTGCCAGGATCGCTGTTTGTCAGGATCGCTGTTTGTTTTTTGATAAAAGAGAATCTATTCCAGTTCTGTGGGGCTTTGTAGGTTGGTTTTTGACCCAATGTATAGCTTTATGACCCTCCGTAGTTCTTTTGAAGAATTTTTTAGCACAGCAAATTTAAATTCAAGAGAGTCGGTGAGCAAGATTGCGGCTTGACAGTGTCTAAAGCTTAATATATAGATTTTAAAAGTTTTTAGTTAGCGAGGATAATGGCGTTGATGTATGTACGGCCCACTTATTTGAGCCAGTATATTGAACAGAGAATGAAACTTTTGCAGAATTGGTGAGCAGTGCAGTACCTAGCCTACATTACATTGCATGCCCTGTGTTTGTGCTAGTGGGTTTCATTTAGAAATTTTATGAGGGCATCATAAATCATTAGCATTTAGCAAGTAGTCGACCACAAAGCAGAATGGCATGTTAACATTCCAAATCGGCAAACAGCAACATGACTTATGGTACAAGTTGTTTCCGGGGCCTGCTTTCTGCTGTCTGTGATGACATTCTTAGTTCCTTAGCTTGAGAGAGCTAGAGACAGTATGTGGATGAAAGTCTTTACTTAGCAATATGTTCCAGACCCTGCCTTATTTGGGTTTGTAGCACTTTTGTGCTGTTTCGTGACTCTGTAGTTGCAGCTAAGTGTATGCTGTGTGGTTCCTTGTAGAGTCTGGTTTTCTCACAATGCAATGAACTTTGAGGGAGCTCTCTCAAAAGGTCTAGTTGCAGGTGTTTACTTGGTAACCACATGGCAGTCTACTCAGCTTACTGTAGTGCTGTTGTAAGCACTTGTTTCTCATGTGTTTCTTTCTCCACTAAGTACTTTTTGTTTTACAGGCTAGTCGACGGTGTATATTCAAGTAACATATCTTCTTTATCTCTTTGTATATAGGGTCACACTAGTTTATTAGAAGGTGACACCAGCCTGTTACACTTGATTATTGAGTGACAGTGATTTAGTGGGTGTAAGTGTGCATGCATTTTGATGATGGTACGCAGTTAGTGAGCGACATCTGTGCTTGCTGTGGTTGCAAGCGGAGCACCGCATTTTGCTGTGGAAAAGTATTGCTAAGCATCCTCTTTGAGACTTGTGACAGGCTTGTTTACACCTTGTATAGATGCCTTAACGTATTTTGCTGAACTGTACCCAAGATATTTGTGCAAGTATTTTTGCATTTTTGTAGAATTATGCAACTGCGTTTTGCAAGAAAAGAAAGAATATGCAAGACATGCTCACTGAATGGATCCTGCCTCTCATCCTTGAGTCATTATTTGTGACGATTATAGTTACGACCCTGTACCCTGAATAAATATTGTCAGTGAGTGACTCAGGCTCGGTGTGATGCTTTGGCTTATGAACATTGAACACACGTCACGTGTATCAACTTTAATTCATATTGGAGGTCCCGTTGCCAGGGCAAGCAGTACAGCCTATGGCAGACATATTGTGATGTACTGTTGCCCTTGTGGAATGGGAGCACGTAGCCTCATGAGCGCAGAGATCTAGCATGGCTTCCATTGGCCCTTATTTCCATCACTAAATGCTGTTTTACCACCGCAGGATGGCGTCAAATAAAAATGTTATTTTGTCTGTGGAAATGATGGCAAGTTGAAGCCGTGTACAACTCTTAAGCTCATAATGCTTCTGTGTTGCAGGACGTATTGATTATGACTGCACATTGTCATCCACCCGCCCCTGCTATGCTTTAGCATTTTACGTATGAGCTCCCTGGACTGGCTGACGGGTGCCATTAAGACCTTGTTGTAAGGTACTGGAGATGCAATCTCCCAACTGCAGCTGCATGAACCATAGCTTAGACCTTAGTTCTTGAATACCAAGTAGATGTACGTTCAAAGTCATCGCGGGTATGCCTCTTTGGTTTTGGTTGGCAGGAGGGAGGAGGGTGTTTGTAATGTCACTCCGTAGGGCCACGTTGCCCAACTAAAGTGTGATGTCGCCGTCATGTGTTGCACTTCTTTTGAAGATATAAACGCGCATATTCCCATATGCAAATGACCCTTTTATGGTAACAACTTGGCCCTGCTTGCGTTCCTACCACCATTCTGGAATATTTGGTGGTACAGGCCGCACCCACGTCATTAGCCTGGAACAGAGTAACACCTATTCCTAGTAAAAAGTAATTAAGTTAGTTATAAACTTAAATGTTTAAAATGTAATTAAGTTGCATTACAAACCACAGCTGGCCGTAAGTAATGACATTGCATTTAAATTACTTTTTCAAATGCTCGTGCAAAACTTGCGTACACTTATTTTGCTTCACAGATGCATTTAAATCTCGGTAATCTTTGTTCGGCTTCCCAAACTTCAGGCATGTCACTCTAAATAAATTAGCTCTTATGATTTTATGCTGTAAAAGAAGTGGATGTGATGTATTTTATTAAAAAGTAATTGCAAAAGTGAAGAGTAATTTTCTTCAAGTTAGTCATTTGATGTAATTTATTACATTATTTCTTGCACTGAAAAGTAATTTAAGTACTGCAGTTTCATTACTGCTAACGGTGACCTGGGCTAAATGTATTAGGGTTGCTTTGGTGCCCCAGGAAAAGATGTGTGTGTGTGTGCGCGCGCATGCACGCACACAGTTAAAAGTGCTGACACTTTTAACTGAATTTTTACTCACATGAAATAAGTAATGAAAAACTAAGAACAGGAAGAAGATCCAAGAATAGGAAGCCACCAAAAAGCATTAACAGTCACAGTGGCTTGCCACGCATTCTGTCAGATAGTGCAACCGACATTTGGCAAACATACCCGCTCGCTTAATTAATAAGTTACGCGCGCTTGCTCGTCCTTAATCTAATCCGCGTAAATGAGCTTTCTCATTTTGATGGCGGCGATATAACTTTATCCGTATGTCTCTCGCAGATGCACGGTGGGCTTCCACACGAGTAGGCTCCCCACTCTTCTGTCCTCCCCCTTCATCCCCGAGAAGAATGGAAGGGCTGCACCTAGGCTTTTCGTCATCACACCTTCCAGCGCAAGAAAAATTTCTGCGGGGCAGTAAAGTTATCTTCGAACGAAAACGGGGAATTGCGCTGTACACCCATTCAGCAGAAGAATCACGCCGTCGCCTGTGTCGGTCACGCCAGTAAAACCCGCGTTGAGCCGTGAAACGTCGGCCGTTGATCTCTGTCGATCTGGAGAAGTATCTTCTCAAACCAGTTGACCGGGATTTGTAAGTACATCTATGTTAAAGGAGCCCTGCAACACTTTTAGACACTTTTCACGTGCTGTAATTGCCTTCTATTCTCTTGCCCCGACGTTCGCGCTGGAAATTAAGGAGGAGGGATGGCACGGGGGAAGCAAGTTATACGCCACGCGCGCGTCAAAACTTTGAGTACGTTTTCTTTTTTCTTTTTTTCTTTCAAACGAGCGGCTTTTAACTTTCAACGCTATCGCGAGCGCTTGCATGTGTGGCGGCTTCCCGCGGCGGCCTCGGTAACTATGCTCAAGTGAGCCAATGGCCGTGAATTCGGGTTTATGGCACGGTTATATGAGGTATAATGTACTGTTTGTAGAAATAATAGGGAACGATTCCTGGCTGACTCTGAGAATTAGTCGTCAATTCTAGCTGAAACTGCTGCGTGGGCAAGTTGGTGCAATATTAATATAATTTTACCCGCGCAAAAAGCTAAACACTTAATTAAGAAGAAACACTCACACACAAACACACACACAGCGCTGAACTCGCAACTGATTTATTACTTCGAACGCATTAATTCCTTGCTCTATCTTGTGAGTGTCTGTTTCTTATGTGTTTCGTATTTCTGTGCTGATCTAATCTATCGTAAATTCCAGGCCGCGTGCTCCGCCACGATATTTGACGAAAAAAGGGCACAACGCGAGCATTTGTCTTCCTTGCACCTTGAGGTGTTCGCGCATCGAATTTGTTAACGTACGAACCATCACCAACCAGCTTGGCTTTTCGCTTTGCTTTTCATTGACCCACCTAACAACAGCGTGCTTCAAGCGACACTTTGCGAAGGGCAGTCTCAAATCATTAATTGTAAAATTAATGAAAAAAACTAAGGCAAGGACGAGAAAAGAAGCGCCGATTGTCATCTGTGCCGAGGTGCGGTCAACATGAGGTAAATGGGGAAAAACACCTAAAAGAGCGAGGTTACACAGCGTCGGAACAGAAGAAGCGTGCGATCTACCTTCCCAGATCCATCACCCCATTCTCCGTCCGCCAGCCTTCTGCAAAGAAGGCGCACCCTTTCATCAGTACAAACAAAACCAGGCCACTCACGTTACGTTATTCGTCGTTAAAGCCGAGAAAAGACAGAAAGGAAAATCAAACGATCCGGTAAAGCCAAAGCTCCCAAGCCAGGAAGTGAGCGCGTAATCTAATCGTCGTGCAACCCCTTCTTTCGCACATACCCGGCGCGCGTGCTCATTTGTTCACACACAACCGCCAGTGCCCGCGAGCGGCTGATCGGTGGTAGAGGGAGCTCTTTTCGGCCTCCAGTGCTTGTTTTGGAGGAGGGATTAAAAAGAGGGGTGCGTACGTTCTTGTGTGCGTGTGTATGGGGGGGGGGGGGGTAGCTAACTTGCGCGCTGCCGTTCAAGGTAAACTACTGGATATGCTGGCATGGCGCACCTCGTAATTGGCCCAGCGACGCTTTTATTTGGCGGTAGTTACAAACAATTGAGAGCATAGAATAAAACAAAGAACTGTGGGAACGGCGGTGCAGTAGTACCACGGACACGGTTACGTTTCCAAGGTCGCTGCCTTCGACAATCAACCATGTTTAACACGCACTACGTTGAACGAGTTGTGCACTGCCTTTTGTTTTTTCATGTCCCAGCTATACTTCCCGCCTGCTCTGTGAAGCCGCAAAAAAGACTGAACCCGGTTCGGGAGTGTTCGGCAGTGTATGAAGTCACGCACTGTGAATCCTATGGCGTCGCACCCGGTGTAGTGTTAGGTTACCACCAGAAGACTTGAAGCTCGGTAGCGTGAAATCGACGAGGACAGGACAGACAGCGAAAGGGCGGCGCTGGTCGAAGGGACGTCGATCATTGTGTTTGTGGATTCGTTGGAATTCATTTCACCGCGACCTTGGACGTCGACGCGCCGTACAAACCAACCGACGAGCGGCAATTGAGCGAGCGAGCGCCGACCTTGAGTATATATACAGCACGACGGCGCATGCACTGTCAGCTGTTGAATGTTCTCGAAGCGCGACGCCACATGCGCGTCCACTGGAGAATCAGGAGAATTGTAGATGTCGAACGCGGTGTGTAGAGGAGGAAGGGTGCACAGATGGTGGAGGAGTGAAGCGCGCGCGGTGTGTAGAGGAGGAAGGGATGCACAGATGGTGGAAGAGTGGGCGACGGCGCGACGGCGCATGCGCGCGCGTCAGCTGTCGAATGTTTGAGAAGCGGCGCGGACGGCGCGGACGGCGCACTACAAGGCGCGAGTATAAGATGCTCCGCATCTAATACAGGACAGAACGCTTACTCGCAACTAATATTAATCTGCATATGCACTGCCACGCACGTTTTATCTGCCTATGCATTGCAAGAACTGTGCATGTGAATCAGCGCTGTCTAGCATTCGAATTCTGGGCAGAAGTGGAAATGCTCTGGCGAGAGAACTAATGGAGGCTTATCACATTAAAAAGAAAGAAGGTAATTGTATTAGTTAAACTTTTTGTTGTGCTGCGCAGTAAAGAAAAACTGTTCTTAGAAACTTGGTTGTGATGCCCAATATACGTTGCTCTGCTGATTCTGATTGGCGGTTGGTATATGTGGAGCTAGCAAAATGGCCGTGAGCGCATCATGAAGGGCCCAATATACTCCAATGTAGCGTTGACGCGCGCGCACGCTAGCGTGGCGTGTAGTCATGTTGTTACATGACACGCATCTCATGATTATTATGTTCGTGTCTTTCGCTTGTGTTCTCCATGCAATCATGCCATACCATAACAGTTTTGCAACATGCCATGTGAACGAAACCACCGCAAGAGCTGCAGGACCGTGAAATGTAAATTATGACATACATGTCATGATTTTCATGTTATGACTATTCAATTATGTTCTCCATACAGTCATGTTATGCCATACCAAGTTTGGTATCGATACCATTATCGAAACGGCCAGGAGAGCTAAATGTCATAGGCGGCTAGATAGATAGATAGATAGATAGATAGATAGATAGATAGATAGATAGATATAGATAGATAGATAGATAGATAGATAGATAGATAGATAGATGATAGATAGATAGATATAGATAGATACTGTTCTAACTGTAAACTTGGTTGTGATGCCCAATATACGTTGCTCTGCTGATTCTGATTGGCG